CGCGCTACTATTTGGGGAGCAGCGTGCGAGAGCTGTCAGGAAGGTACGGCTGAGCAGAGCGTTGCCACAGGGATGTTTTAGGAGGGGCGCTTCAAAAAAGGGGAACGCTTCGTGTGGGAGCTGAGGTGTCTGAGCGGTGCCACAGGGACCTACGAGGAAATGCCCGTCCCGAGGAGGCAGTGCTGCTGGACATATCCCGACAGGAAATTACAATACACGCGATTCTGGGAGACTGTCATGAGAGAAAGAGTTGTAAAAAGCTGTGATAGGATTATTTTTTAGTTGAATTTTCATTCTTTTCCGGTAGGAACATGTGGGTAGGCTGCAATCGGACCTCATGTAATTCATGTTTAATCCAAAAAGTGTACGGGCCGCGTCCGCTCTTTGCTGACACTTCTGCTCGTGACGGGCCCCAGACACGTCCCTTTGCCCTTTCGTAATATTAAGCTATGGCTTGCAGTCTGCTGTTCGCCCACGGAACAGCTAAGAGTGATCCGTACCGCGACTGGAAATTAAGAGGAAGCTGCAGGCTCCCGTTCCATGGAGCAGAAGATGAGCTATCGACTTACTTTAACTCTTCAGCTGAAACCTGTTGACACACGTTGCCTGTTAGTGATGTTTAGGGCTCTAGTAAAACACCAAAGCTTTGCCAAAGTCCTAAATCTGTACAGTAACGGGTATGTCTTAAAGGCCTGGGCGTTTCTAGGAAATGGAGCACGCACATACTATGGGAGGCAGAAAATCCTCAGTGGAATTCTGCTCTTAGGTGCTTGCTAAAAAGTACCACTTCAGACTACAGTCAATTACCTGTAATTACTAGTATCTCAGTTCTATATAGACTTCATCTTCTAGACTACATGTTCAGCAACTGTAAATTCTCAAAATGTTACTTTTGGATACTGATCGTGATAATCCAATGCATAATTTTCCTCATGTATTTAAAGAATTTTATTCCAGTGCTGGATCAGGAATTTAAAGATCCTGAATTAGCAATTCAGCCGCTTTAATGACAGTAAATTGCTGAATTTTTGTTTTCTGAAAAAATTTAGATCTACATCTGCCCTTCATCGTTGACCTAGTAAATGCTTATCTTCCGAGAGTGTAGTCTCTTAATGAAACCTAGAATCAGACATGGTTTGCTTGGTGAAAAAATGAATAAAGTTTGTCTTTTGAATACGTATTTTGAGTGAATGTTGCTACTGTACGATCCATTTTCCCCATCCATGCTGAAAATGACTAATTTCCTCTTCCAACCTTTCAGTGTAATCTCCTGTGTCGCCTTGAACACCAGCGTGCAGACCTCCGTTCCTAAGCTCGTGTGCCAGAGACGTTTCCACAATCACTGCTTTAACTGGGAAGTACAATTCTCTTCTTTTTCATTGCTTGCCTGCATATATCGTTGCCTTCTTTTACAGTTTACAAAACGATTTTGCTTCCTACTAATATAGCAGTTATATTCAAATACGCTGTTCAGCTCTGTGACTCTGTTTATCCCCAGCATTGCCTCCTGTACCATTCCTCATTTGCATCTTCAGGCACTTACTTAGCAAGGGCTGCCTTTCACTTCGTGCATTTATCTGCGTCAGTGAGTTGCTCAGTTTGTTCACGGTTGACCTGAGTCAAGATACAGAAAACGTAAAGATCTTTGAAAAGTGATTATTCTGCTGATTACCTAGTGATATCTTATGGACTCTAATCTTTTAGATAGTGATCTAACACCGCTGACGAGCGCTTGGAAGTGGTTTGTTGCCGTTGCTGAACGGGGTTATCTGGAGCAAATGTTTTGTGGATCCTCTGAACTGAACACTTGCTTACACGTGGTGATAAAACATGATAAAAACTAGATTTCATGTAGTAATTTACCTTCGTAACAATGAAATAAGAATTTGCCAGGCACTCAAACGCTATGCTATGGGACTTTTTAATTAGAAATCTATTTTAATTATTCCAAATTAAAGTATCAGATAGTATTACCATTTTGTTTGCAGGAAAAAAAGTAGTTTACTAATAAATTTGTAACAATGTTGACAAGTTTCTAAAGCACACTGACTGTTCTATACACAGTTACAGGTTGCTTTTTTTTCCCCCCCCGGAAGCATTTATATTCTTAAAAACTGCCAAACTCTACTAACATGGCTTTATGGGCCTCTATTTATAAACGCATGCCTATTTGTCAAGAAGCGTGGTGGAATTCACAAGGGTTTTATAAAGATAGCATTGTGCTGAGAAAAATTTCAGATGAGTTACATATTCTGAAAAATATCCTTCCTGACACCTAGAGGCGATCGGCAAAAGCGCTAAAAAACCACAAACCCAACTCGTCCAAAAAAGGGGAAGCAAGTTCAACAAGCCAGCGATTTTTCCAACACAGAAAATCTTATTATTTGGATTGGCATTACACTGTCAAATAAACAAAAATTACAGCAGAGTGCAGCCACTCGTGTAAAACTTTCTGTATACGTTGCCCCTATGTCTGTAGAAAATGAACCAGAAGTAAGCTGTGTGTCACCTGCCATGAAATATTTTCTGTCAATTCAATGCAGAGATACTTAAAAAAATCATTTTTTAATTCTAGATTATGGGGTGCACCAAGAAGCTTTATGCAGACCACATAAAAGTTGTTGAAGTGTACCGGAGTTAAAAAAAAAATCAGAGACCTTAAAAATCAGTGTGAACCCACGAACTTGGTATATATAGACCTATGCAAAACACTTACGTTCTTTGAAAGTCAGTTTTTGAACAACTCCGTTCCGCTGAAGTTTGGTCTTGAGATCTTAGAGAACTATTCTAAATCCAGGGCTTACAAAACAGCTTTTATTTTCATTGACGCACTCTCTAGCGAACGCAGACCAGTTTGTGTGAAGAACTGAAAATAACGGTCGTGAGGTACGTTTAACGGGCGCCCTTTTGAACACGGCCGTCTGTACCCGAGCGCCGTTGGGTTCAAATCCGCCCGCTGCTTTTGAAGACCCCTTTACTAAAGCGTGCTGGAGGCAGTTTAATGGGTTTTCTCAGTAACCGCATGCCATTTTTAAACTTTGTCCGCGGCTGGGGAGTATCATCAGCTGACGAGCCGCACCGCAACACCTACCGATGCGATTTTAACGATTCAACAGGGAGGCTGCCGAGTTCCCCAGCAGCTCCGCCTGGCGGAGAG